TTGGGAAATGTATGGATCCATCACTTCTGCTTCCAGCTGTAGGTAAATAGCAGGACAGAGTGGGTTTTATAGCCTTGGATGGCAAACGGTCTAGGAGAAGAAAAACTGAATTCAAACCAGCCTGGTGGGTGTTGGCTCCGTCAGATTATCTTGCCCAAGACACACCACTTCTACTGTGACAGCGAGTATATGTGTGGTGCCTCTACGATTCGAAAGAGTTACGGGACTCGTGATCGTGATTATGATGTGCGTTAGACTTGCAGGCAATCACGTTAGGAGAACAACAACTCTGAATTCAAAGCCGTATATGACCTTGGGATCAGGTTACGGGTTTGCAATTTGGCAAAGCCTATCACCCGAAAGCCACTGCCGGGTTCATGGTGAAGACATCACCAGCAGCATTCTGATGTGTTCATTGCTAGAATATAACAGGCTAGATATGTGACATTCAAATGCAATGGCATCAGGCAAAACATCCTTCATAGTGGACAATGGATAATATTTAATTGTTCCGCGTCAGATAGAAAACACAGTAGCGTTTTATGTTACCTAATATCTGCAAAAAATGAAACCACTATAATGACAACATGAAGGTAACTTGACCGATGACCTAGACTGTAGTAGTTATTTCTACTATAAACAATTGTATATTTTATTCAGGGGGTTTGCTGCTTAGGATTACGTGACAAATACCTACCTCATGCGCAGCGTGGTCTTACATTTATTACAGGAAGAAACCCGAATATTTTTTTTAATATTGTCATTCTGTTCTCGTTCTGAACATTTATTCTTTGAATGTTTTCTACTTGAATGTCTGAGATGAGTTATCATTATTTACATTCGGATTTATCTCCTCATCTTTGCTGTTGTTATAAATGTGTTTCAGTCGTCGTGCCCTCTGGCCTTCTTCAGGTATTTGCTAATCCGGGTATTCTACAATAATTTTGAACTGAAATCTTTATATAATTTACAGAAAGACATTGTTCTCTTTCCGTTGTCCATGTCTAGGGATACATTCTTTAGTTTTACTTAATACTGTTCACTTATTGCTAGCCCTTTTGAACCACGAGATAATACCTTAGAGAATTAAGGCATTGGTTCGTGACGTTCGTAGCTTAGCAACTGTGAGTTCAATCCTTGGGTCGGGTAGTAGAGACTTGGACTTAGTGGACACGAGGTGAACAATAACTGATCAGTACTACTAAAAAGCGAACAAGTGAAATCGCTAAATATGGGAAATGGAAGGAGTAAAATAGACCTCGGTAGATTACATAGGGTAAAGTTATCTGGTTGGATTTATCGAATAGACTATTTTACGGGTCCCGGTAAAATAAGCACCAAGGCTGTTTTGCCGGTAAATATAAATAGTATTTTAGAACTATATATATATATATATATATATATATATATATGCATGTTTCATTAAAAACGACAGACAAAGTACTACGGTTAAGCTTTTTATTTAATTTTTCTTGTCTTCTACTGAGAGCTTTCTTTTCTGGACAAAGGGTGTGTAAGAATTGACGTCTTACGTTACACCTATCTGATCACAGCTCCATTTGAACCGATTTAAACACACACACAAATTTACCATTAGACTCCATTAGAAACATACTAGTAGAAAACACAAATATATTAACGAAAAAAAAAGACTAAAAATAATGGAAGCTTTAATAATAAAAAAGAAAAAGCCAACTCTTAACAATATTAACTACGAACAAAGCCACAATGTGCTAACCGTATTTGGAAATTAAAAACATCCCTACCACATACTAAGACATACACAGAACGCAAACACTTAATTAAGCTGAAAAATCGAATCATCCTGGATAATGGCTAAAGGTATAGCCGAAAGCGCTCGGAAATATAAAACAGTTGGACATTTCATACACACCATATGTCCAGAAAAGAAAGATCTTGTTAGAACGCAAGAAGAATTAAATAAAAAGCTTAACCGTAGTACCTTGTCTGTCGTTTTTAATGAAACATGAATAAAGGAAGGATTGCTGCCTATATATTGTTTAAATGGGTGTATATAATTGTATAGAAATGTAAGGTTTTAGGTATATATGTTTATGTGCACGTATGCGTATGTCCCTATGTATATATGTGGGTAAATGTGTATATATAAAGGACTGGATGCAGATGGATGTATGTGTGTATATATGCATGTATGTGTGTGTATGTATTTTTTGTATATTTTTATATTTTATTTTTATATATTTATATATATATATATGTATGTATGTATGTATGTGTGTGTATATATGTATATATGTGTGTATGTGTGTATATGTAAGGGTGTGTATATATGTATGTATGTATATGTATATATATATATATATACGTATATATATATATGTGTATGGATGTGTATGTGTGCATACACACACATATACATGCATATGTATGTGTATGTGTGTGTGTATGTGTATATATATATATGTATATATATATATATATATATATATATATATGTATAGGTGTGTGCATGTGTGCATGTGTATGCATGTATATGTATGTGAAAAGTGTGTGTATATGGATATAGATGAATATGTGTATGTGTGGATATGTGAATATATTTTTATATGCGTGTACATGGGTATATGTATGTGTGTATGTGGGTACACGCCTATGTGTATGTATATACATGTATATGTTATTGTGTCTATTCGCATGTGTTTTTGAACATAGAAATATTGGTCATTGCTGGATTAGATAATCGTTATATTTATGTTTATATATTTATATTTGATTTGTAACCTGTAGTCGATATTAAATTTGTCAAATTTTCTCAATTACAAAGCGGCCCTTTAAGTAAACGCAATTTTACTTTCCTTCGTCTCATCTCTCTCCCCCACCTCGTCTTTTCCTCCCTCTTATTCTAACAGATTGTCTAGGGTGTGTGTATGTCACCACGAAATGTATCTTTATGCATTAGACATCCGACAACATTCATTTTTCACTTACTTAAACCCCTTCCAGCCACCTCTCCTAAAATTCTCTCTGTTAAGGTTTAATCTCCCTCGTCCTCATACTTACACACTCTCTAAATTCTGTTTTTATTTCCGGAGTTGTTTTTTCTGTTTTCTTTTTGAATTTGTAGGTCTGATGAATTGGATCGTATTTACGATTCCAATGGAATAAATTATGACCATGGAATATTAGTGTTTAAGCCTTTTTATTATATATATATATATATATATATATATGATAAATGTAAAACGTTTCAGGAAATTAGACATGATTGAAGACTTTTCCATTTGACAAATTTAAAAACCTTGCCAGGATTCCTGTATCCTATCTTAAACCGCCCCCCACATATATATATATGAAGAAATATAGTTTTAAGGCATGCTATATATGGGATAAAGTGCTCAATATCTGAGATAGAGCGTATGTAAATATAAAAGTGAACACTGAAGTCAATCACTCAGAGGCCACAGGCTGTTTCATGCTAAACCCCACCAAGTGACCTGATTATTGCGTTTAACATGAAACAGTCTGTCGCCTCTAAGTGCTGACTTCAATGTTCACACACACACACACACACACACACACACACACACACACATATATATATATATATATATATATATATATATATTATATATAAAGAATAAAAACCAACTCCATTCCTTAAGAAATCATCTAGTGACAGGGATCTCCATAGACTGGGCTACTTTTTCAGTGATAAATATCGTCAATGCGGTGGTTGCGTGAGCTCTGTTGGCAGGACTTGAACAACATGGATTCTATGACTGTTGTCTTCAGTGGGTGCACCTGACGTATATTAGCAAAAGAACCATGCCCAAGGTAAAAGTTTGGGATTTGCAGAAAGGTTAATCCTGAAGTGCTTAAAATATTCAGAGACTTCTGTGTTTCTTTTAATCTTAACAATTGATGATGAAAATAAATAAACTTCTGTGTTAAATTGTCTATTGTTATTTTTAACATTACCTGCCTTCATCATAATAAAAATAATTACAGGCAAAATGGCCTGGAGTCTATTTTACTGAGATCGGTAAAATATGCTTAAAACAGGTTTGTCTATTTTACTGGGATCGGCAAAATTCCTCTTCCTTGGTTGATCAGATTGATTCGTTTTTTACGGCTTATCAACCCTTTTGCAAGTTATTTAAAGCTAGAAAATATTTTTACATTGTAAGAATTTTTTTATTTGAAATAATAATAATTTAGCGATAAAATTCTTACTAATTAACTTATAGCTGTGGGGGTAAAGTCGTGTATTCGTACCTTTTCCAACTGAAATTGAAATTCGGCTCTCCGATTGACAACACCTTGTCATTATACACTACACAACTCGCACATCCAATGTTGGAGCATTTGGTAATCTCAAGTGGTTACCCATCCAGACTCGACGTTTCTTAACTTCGGTGATCGTACGGGAACCGGTGTTTCAACGTGTTATGGATCTAAGCTCCTGAAACTTACCCGGATTGAGAGACACCTGAAAAAGTCTAGAAAGTAAAAACACCTGAAACGTCATGATAATAATAACCAAGATGAAGATTGTAAATAATATGGTGGTAGCAGTTGTTTGGGTCCCAGCTATGGGTAAATAGTTATCCCCCCCAAAAAAAAAAACTGGGGTCAAAAGACTATGAAAGTGTAAAAATAGGTTTTATTACCAGAAATACTTTGTCAAAAATATTAACAGCTATACATTTTTGGAGGAAAAATATTACCAAATATAGATTTTTTTAAGAAAAAAAATATTACCAGAAATACATTTTGAAGGAACATATTACCAGCACTAAAAATTGTCGGCATTAAATAACCCATTGTGGTTGATATGCCGTAAAACAAACCAAACCAAACCAAACCTTTCTCATTTGTTTATGTACACAGGAAATCACTTCATATATATTTTAATGTAGATATATCGTTTCTCTCTTTTATTTTCATTACATACGGATGCAATACTAAAGATATTCTCCATCTATCCTAACACACAGAGAAACGCACAAAATAATGAAGGTCATATCACATTGAAGCTCCAGTTCTCGTAACATCACTGAAGTTAAGCACCGTCGAGCCTAGTCAGTACTTAGATGGGTGACCACTTGGTAATAGTATGTGCTGTATGCTTGGGTGTACGGGTGGTGTAATGGATAACGACTCGGAATTGAAAATTGGTAAGCCGAGTTGGAGTCGGATTCGTTATATTATCTTTCCCCTGGGAAAGGTATGAATCCACTTCTTCTCCTCCACCAACAATGGGTTAATTAATAGGACTTTTATCAGTAAATGATTATGTCCCTAAAATTTCATGCAATCTGTACAATATTTTCTACCTTTAAATAACCTGGTTGTTAAGTCGTAAAAAAACCCAAATAAATCATCAAATCGCACACATGAATGCACATTTATTGGACACTGGTTCTGAGTTCGATCCACATCTAGTACGCTACGATCGTGAACTTTTATAAACTAAGGTTAGAAAATACATAAAGCAATCAATAAATCCTGAGCCTAGTGATAGAAAAAAAACGGTTATTTTATACAGCGAATATTTATTTTTGTTTGCAATACAATTTTAACTCCTTCCCCACATTTGGACTAGATGTGACACAAGGTCTTTTTAAGGTGGGGACCCGTGCACGTACGCTCGGGACAAGGTCAAAAATTGCCCTCAGCCTCCGCAACCGTCGATTGCGCTGACCTCAGTGCAAGGACCCATCCCCCTCTCTTGTGCAATGGGAGAGCGCAGCCTCGGGCAGCTGTTCCCCAGGGCTGGGCCCCTCTTCAGTATAATTTTCTCAGTTGCCCCCCCCTGTCCTTTGAGAGAGAAGCCCCTGAGCGCACTTTGTCCAAAAACAGAGACGCAACTGAAAGATGATTAGCTTGCGTTGAAAATCCCTCCAACGAGGAATTTATACGCAAAGCAATAAGCTACAGGTGAAATGCATTGTGTTAAGATGGGCCAACTGGTCGACTGAACGCGTATACATCTATATATTACAGAAAAATTAAAAACTTCCACCTTGTTAATTACCAATAACAATACACCCTCGAAATCCCAAATCCAGACTACCAATGTTGCGTATAAATGTTATAGTCATTGTAAGGCCAATAATAAAGTTAAAACTATAAACGGATACATTGGGCACACGACAAACTTTTTAAGCAGGCGTCTAAGAAATCATTTAAGCGACATCAGTTCGATAACAAAAATTTAAGAAAAAAGAGTTGTAGACAACACAGTCATGGTACCTCCACGAAATCGCTAAAAAAAGAGCATAGCTTGATGAAAAAGACGCCAACCTTGCCGAAAACAAAATTTTATCGTCTAAATACTTATGTTATTATTAAGAGGAAAAAACAAAGTTTTTTTTTAATTTTTTAAAACATTTTTCCTTCTTTTTAGAACATTCTAAATTTTGATTAAAAAAAACTTGTTTTTCTTTGTATCAGCGGAACTAGTAAATAACAATTTTTAGCACGTTATTTTAGTATGACACACATTAAATTGGAAAATCAAATCTTGCAAAAATATAAATATTTGTCAGATGTAAATGAAACTTTCAGGAACCATTCACAGATAATCGAAATTATTATAAATATAGTTTTTTTTATTAAAGTCATGGCAGAAATATTTTTACATTATATTACCCTCCCGTAACAAATTTTATGAAAAGGCTAGAAATTCGATCTAGTCTAGTTTAATGATTACAATATTTAAAAGCACAAGGCTTTGAGGAATGAAAATCACGTTTTTTTTTGTTTTTGATTGGATCCCACCTATCTGAAAATCAGCTCTGAATTGTAACATAAAAAATTCAATAAAACAAAGATATTATTTAATTTCAAATGCTTTTATTTGCTTTTAGTTGTTTTTATGAATATGGACAATATTTTCTGAAAGCAAAAATTTTTTTCGGTGAATAATGAATTTTTAATACAATTATTTGTTATTTTGTTAATTATAATAGATTTTTACATTTAATTTTTTTAAATATTATGAAATTAGTTAAAAGCAGCATCAGGGTTCCTAAGTGTCCTTATGAGATAGATCTTTTTTTAGCGCGTTGTAAATTGTATCATTTTGACTAATCAGAAGATCCGTAGTAATTAAGAAATGTAATTTTATGTTTATAATCAGGCTGTAATTATAACGTACGTAAGACCAATCAGAATACAATTAAGTTGCGTTATTTGAGTTAAGCATTTTTCTCCGCTGTTAAGGCCTTTACTTTTGCGAAACACGTGTTGAGAAATTAATTTGATTTTTCAATTTCAACTGAAAAGGATATCTACAAGTATCAGTATCATGTTATGAAATTTATATGATCTTATTTTATATTAATCTCAGTTATGACATTTTTCCATAAATGAAATATCAAAATTAAAAATAAAATGAATGGAAATACAAATAACACAGTAAAATGTAATAAATGTACATAAAATTATAGTATTTTATGTGCACTTCTGATAAAATTTCATAAGAAAGGTACCTATAAATTAATTAGATACCTTTCTTATGAAATATGAAATTTAATCTTAACAGTCTTAATTTATTTTCCTTAGAATATATTTTCCATAAAGCATCGTAAATATAAAGGTGAAATCTAAGTGCAAAAAAAAAAAAAAAAAAAATAGAGCGCTGAAAGTTTTCTTTAAAAATAACGAGGTAAATAATTTGTTCACCTAAATATAAATTATTTCACAGTTCTCCTTCCGTAGAACAAATTATCCTCACGGAATCCGTCAATATGGCATACATCATCTGTCAAGAGACGCGAAAGATTTATTTTCAAATTTCTTCTTTTCGGCGTAAAGGTAAGTTAAGCTTGGTTCAAAATATTTTAGATAAACATTATAATTTCTGATTTTCTTAAAATAAGTTTTGAAAAAATGATAATTGACATTTAAAAGAATTTCAAAGTGAGATTTCCATTTTTTTTTATAAAATGGAAAAAAAAATGGTAAATTTTGCTGACTCAAAATAAAAACAAGATTTTTAACGAAAATTTCGGACGTGCTCGGAACGATTAAAAATGTAAAAAAATACCCCCAAAATACTTTGATCTTTTCTCTTAATAATAACATAAACATTTAGACGATAACATTTTGTTTTCGTCAAGTTTGGCTTCTTTTTCATCATGCTATGCTCTGGTTTATAGCGATCTCGTGGAGGTACCTATAAGATCAGGTTTAAAAAGATAATTGAAGCGTTCCTAATAAAAACCAACAAATATCCATTTAACACTACTTAATTTGAAAGTACTCGAGGCATCCTGATTGTGTTTGTTTACTAACAGAAAATAAATCCAGTATAAGTTATATTACTTCTACTTTTAGGCAACACAGTATAGAAAACGAAAACAAAAGAACGGAAATTACCCCGTACACAATAACTATGAACATTGTTAAAATATTGGTCGAAAAAGCTACAAATCTACCATTCATACATTGAATACTGTGGCGGTGTTGGGTTTGGTGGCTCTGCTGTTCATCTTGAGGTTCTCGACAAAATCCAAAGAAGAATCTGTAATATTATCGATCTAGACCTGGCATCTCGACTTCAGTCACTTTCTCACAGACGTGATGTGGTTTTTCTCTGTCTTTTCTATAAATATTGCCATGGCAACTGATATGACGAGTTTTTTTCCATTGGTGCCCGACCTAAATGAATTTAAAGATGTTACTAGATTGGCATCTAGGTCCCACCCTTTTATTTTTGAAACAGCTAAATATAACGACTAGTTCTATTCGAACAGTTTCTATTCTCGTACTGCCTCTTACCTGCTTCCCTAATAACTACAATCTTCAAAAATTTAAATGCAACGGCAACTGCCATCTTCTGTTGACTTGAACACCATTCACCTTTTATTATTTCCTCACCACCCCTATACCTTGTGTTTTCTTTCATTTTCCTTCTTTGTAACCCTTTACGTACTAGCGGCAATCCCGCCTTGCTTGGGGTGAAATGCATAAACTAAAACTACGGACATTTCTGTATATTCTTAATCTTAAGAAAAAAAAATTGTAAGAACGCAAGAAAAATGAATAAAAAAACTCACGTGTTATTTCTTCTTTGTGATATTCAATATATAAAAGAAGGATTGTTGTTTATATATATATATATATATATATATATTGCATATTCTTAAATATACGTTTTATTTCTTATATATATATCTATATATATATATATTTATACATATTGCATTTTCTTAAATATACTTTTTATTTCTTATATATATATATATATTTATATATATATATTTATATATATTGCATATTTTTAAATATACTTTATATATATATATATGTATGTATGTATTGCACATATTTTTGGAGCGTGTTTTCCTTTGACATGTCTCATTGAATAATATCACTACATTTACAAGAGTATGCCTGTCCATATTCGCAATTTAGGAATTTTTTGTTAAAAATACATCTATACTTTTTCATGAAAATAAAGATAAACTAAAACTTATTGTACCTATCTATATCAAAATATTGAAACCAACTCTTAATAAAATTAATTTTGAATACTGTACCAATGTTTTAAACGTTTGTTGTAGAAAGTTTAAAATATCTAGGTTTCAACTAATAGTTTTAAATTGTCTTTTTCTAAAAAAAAAACAAAACAAAACATTTAGACGTTTCATAACTAAGTTACCGCCCTTGAGGTTTACATCAGAAAATTTAAATCGTAGAATACATAACCTTAGCGTTTTTTTTACTTCACAAGTCAAATATTTAACTTTCTGATGAACATACTAATTTTGTCTTAGAAAAATAATGAACCCAACAACTTTTCTCTTAAAAAAACAACACCTTGATGATGACATTGTGCTAATGTCGAAAGTACTTGGAATAAATGATAAATGTATCGATATGGCAATTTTCTCTCTTCCATCAATAAGGATACAAAGAAGCTTGTCCGTGAATATGAGAGGAACCTACTGAAAATAAGAAGACAAATTATTCACTGAGATATGTCCCTAGAGGGGCCAGCTAATCCCTGTTGCAGACAGACACCGGTTCAGGCATATTTTTGTTTATTCAATAAGTGCCAACCTGTATTTCATACTAGAACCATGTTAAGCGGACATTAATGATAGTTTCTGGGACAGA